ATCGATAGGTGAGTTCTCGATGGAAGAGGCATCGGTGTTGCTGTTCAAGTCCATGGTGCTGGCATCACTGTCGTCGCCATTGTTGGACGTCGATGAAGCTGATGTCTCGCGATATTGAATGCGTTTGGTGCCAACGATGTCCGGTGCATCGAAAGAAAGAGCGTTGGACGAGGAGACCAAGGCCACAGGCGATGAGATTTGGGCCAGACGAACGGGTCTGCCAGCACGTTGACTGGCCGCGCGACCGATGTGAATATTCGGCCGGGGATCATCCCTCAGCCTTATGGTGAAGGCACGAGCAAGCGACATGGTCGAGTGGTGCAAGTGTTGTGGACGAGTCGTTACTGCTGTTTCCCGTTGACGATCGACGTTTGTTAGTGTCGGCAGTCGCGAGCGATCACGAAGATCTTCAACGTCCTTCACGGCAGTCGTTAATAGCTGAGATGGTTGACTTGGGGCTCGAATTTGCTTTTGGTCGTTGATGATGTCGTCTCTCGATGTGATGGGAGGGTCGATGGTAAGAGATGAGCCCTGGCGCGTCTCGAGGCACAGTCTGCGGATACGTCGAAGGCTTCGGATAGCGATGGTTGGTCGTTCAAACTAGTCGATGCAAGAGCTACCAGAGGAGGTCCAGTGGAATCGGGGTTATGGCAAGGGAGTGAGTGGTGTGCAGCGGACACAGTCTGCGCAAGTAGTATGGGTGGTGCAAGGAATGTCGAGGTATGGCCGACGGCGAGTGCTAAAGATGGTGTGGGACGGCGTGAGTGCACCTTTGTCGCAGGCTGAGCAGGTCAAATGAGTGAGGAGAAGCAAAGACAGCGAATTGCTGCGAAAGTGAGCGACAGGCGCTTCGATGGTTGAGACGAAGACTCCAGACAAGGTGGGAGTGAAGTTTGGTGGGCACACCACTACATGTGCGACTATTGGCGAGAAGAGAAGAGCCTTCCTCGCTCCGGGCACGCGCACGCCGCACGCGCTAGCCTCATCCAGACCAGCCCATCAGAGACCGGCGCTTGTCGCTTCCCGTCTTTCCCGCTGCACGCTCGTTGCAAGCTTTTCGAATCGTGAGCCAATCGCAGCCCTGCGTCGCGTGCCCGAACCTTCATCACCCGCCAATTCTCCGCGCTGCACTATTATAGTCCCTGACTCCTCGCTGCACTGCCGGCTGTGCCTTGCGTTTCACTGGGTACGTGGCCTCTGCCACCGATACGACGTCTACGTGCCCGTGCCTCCACCACCTGCCTTGCCTTCCACACACACGCCGCTGTGTCCCGTTTGGCCTTCTCCAACGCACCTCCATCTGATTCGAGAGTAGAGTGGCTGTCAATCTGTGACCAGGTCTATCGCACGCGCCTGTTTGCGCCAAACTGTCGATACTGTACTGTAGTAGAACGGGAAAAACAATGGGTATTGTACTCCACATCCCTGGGGAGTCCTGCTCCGATCAAAATGTACACTTGTTGTTTTAGCCACTCCCACACTCCATGTCCATACGCCACGGCGCCATCGCTTATGCTTCTTCTAAATACAAAACAGTGTTCATCGAGAAAAAAATGAACATGATATTCATAACTCGTCCTTCGTCGGAAATCTTATTTCCCACGTTCTCGGCCGAACCGGTCGTCCCAGCCAGAAGTCACTGAGCCGGAAGAACTCAGTCGCCACGATACTCGGAATTTTCGTTGGCAACTCGACCCAGCTTCTGAGCACGAAAACCCATGCCCGGAAGACCAGGTCGAGCTCCGCCCAAAAGATTTCGCTGATCGTCTCGGGGTCGCGGGCGGGTGTGTCGTCGTGATCAAAATCGTCGAGCTCATCCAGATCGTCGAAATTTGGTACACTGCTCGGCTCGATTCGCGCTGACGGTCGCGGCGTATTCTCAGCCTCAGCCACCGACTTGCCTGCTTGCTCCGCTTCTACCATGGCCTTGAAATGCTCCAATGCTTTGAGCGCCGAGCTGATCTTATCCAGCGTGTTCACCAGCGCCACCAGCTCGGTTCTGCGGAGAAGTGGCTTGTCCTGACCCTCGTGCTCATGACCGAACTCGAAAAGCACTTTCAGCGCCGTTCCAAATCCATTGGTCTGGACCTTGCCCCACAGTCGGCATTTGTCGCAGCCTACGCAGTCCATAACCCGGCTGACGTTGCGGAATCGATTGCGGAAGTCTTCTTTCAAACTGATACCATCCGGCGTTTGGTCTTGAAACATGACGCTCTCGTCAAAGATCATCGGTCCAGGAGGAATGGCGTTGGCCAGCTTGGTGATCATCTTCTTGGTTTTGGCATCTTGTTCAGGGTCGCCAGTGCAGAATGTGTAGTCCTGCACATAGTCCCGCAGCTTGCCAACTGCTCGCGAGACAAGCGCGAAGTTGAAGTAAAGATTGGATATGCGCTCCGGCTTGCCGTGTAATCTCTCCTTGTAGCACGTCAGGTTTGGTCCCCATTCTCCAGTCCATTGGTTGAGATAGTCGTAACAGAGGTGCGTAGATATCGATGCGTGCATACCAGAGATGACTCGATAGAACACCCTCTTCTCCAAGCATTCGTCCTCGAAATCCAACCCATCGTCCGGTCTGCTTGCCTTCATCACTTGCTTCAACTCTAAAGCTGCTTGCGCTTGGTCCTGAGACAATGCAGACACAGCCGACTGGCCCATGTTGCGTGAGCTTTGCTCCATCGACACTGGTTTGGAGAAACAGTTCTCCCGGTATATGGATTCCCAGACCTGATGTGCTCCATCTCCAGAGTATCCAGTAAAGCGTTCCGGGTTCTCCACCAGACTGACATAGTCTCCTTTAGCACTGGCCCTCTCATCTTCTGGCACGCAATAATCTCGTTCGTCAGATTCATCATCAATCTCCACCACGCAGCTCTCTCCGACATCTGCTCCAAGCTGGCCCAGGAGCGGCTGCTGCCTCTCTTTTTGCTGTTTCTTGCCCGGGTGCTCTGCTTTTGGCCCTTCCAGTTTACTCAATTCTTGCGCCCTCCATATTTCCGGAATATCTTCCTCGTCGTCCACCGTAATGACAGCACACGCTCGATTCCCGCATATCCCATTCTCATCATCCCAGAACGGACATTTCTTGTTGTATAGATTCAATCGATAATACGAGAAGAAGTCGGTATTATTCGCAAGATTTCGTACGTAAGGATGTAATCTGTCGTTCAAGTTGTTGAGGTCGCCATAAGATGCGCAAGCGTCTGAGACTTTCGAGGAGGGTTCAAGCTGAAGGAAGTTAATAGGGATTGAAAAACGAGGAGAATCGGAGCATGAGCCTACTGCGCAAACATCTCGACTTGCTGAAGACGCAGGAGAAGCATGTGATCTTCCATGAGCCCCACCTAGAAGAGTGAAGACTGCAAGGTAGAACGCATGCATTCCCGTGCACCGCATCGTGTGTTACTGTCGCTCTAGCAAGCCAAAATGTCAGCGCATTGTATACTGAATGTCCATGTGCCAGACAGGCACACCTTTTACCAGAAGGCCAGGTATCAGACCCGTATCCGTCCAGGATCCCTTATTGATATGCTCATACGGATCCGCGGTAGTCGTAACAAAGGTTGCAGTGTCGAAACAAAGGGATTGGAAACGTCGCGAACCACTATTCGATGTAGGGTGTAAGTCGATTCGTTCCAAGCGAAGGGAGCAAGGAGTGACGAGGGCGAGGACAGCTATTCGCAGCGAGAAAGGGTATTTCCAAGCAGGCGTTTGCTTACATTATTCTGGCTAGTGGTCGAGGACACTTGGAAGGTGGCTCATTTGGGAAGGAAGGGTCTATACTAAATTTAAGCCTCGGAACAACGGCCCGTCGCGGCCTTTGAAATATTCTTGAATTGAACAATCCGATCCGATCTCTCTCCTCGAACTACCGTAACATCTCAGCTCACATATCATTCCACATCCATCATCACTTCCATGCATCACACGCATGGCCGAGGGCTCTACAACGACATCTCCCTCATCCTCCTCATTGACTCCCGATAGCCTTCCCACCCCACACCCTCCTCACTCAGCCACACACAAAAAAACCCCAAGGTACGTTACCAACCGCTCACCACAATTTCCACCAAAATTCAATGATGATGTCGACAAAACAAAAGTCGACGACCATGACCCATAATCTTTAGGAAGAGCCGGAAAAGGCATGGCCAGTACCGACGTATACAGGCCGTCGATGCTTAGAAAAGGGGAAAAAAAAGACCTGAAAAAAAAAGAATTTACGAAATTGCATTGCCGTTTTTGCACGAGGATGTTTGCTGACAGATCACTACTGTAGAAATATCTATACTGAGTCTTTTCGGGATGGTGTCTATTGAGAGAGACGTGACCTGATGAGACAGCAAAACTCCCGTCGCATCCTGGCCTGCATTTCACTACTACTAACTTCGCAGTAACTTATCGCAAAAACCATATATATTGCTAGCCTTCGAATCAAAGCCTCCTCCAATCGATTGCGCAATTTCTGCCAAAAAGTATACCCTCTGCCTGTTCATCTCTGCTCCAGGGAGCATGCCCTGTGACACCCGACTCACGTTGCTCTTTGCATAAAAGCATGTCGGACTCGTTCGTCGCATCCTCGACCTCCTTTCAGCTCACGTGAACAACTTGAAAAGGAATGGAAAGGAAAAGGGCAAGAAGAAGCTCTGTCTCTGTCCGCTGTGCCCAGCTGAAATCGCAAAAGAGGCATCCACTCCACCGAAAGCATATCGCTCTCAATTTCATGATTTGTCTCTTCGCGCGTCGATAAAATTGTAGTATCTAAGCCTTCCTTCTATGCCTCAATACCCCCGGAGGCACCCCCAAGTCCAAGTCTCAAAAGCCCATGCAGCCGTGCAGTCTGGTATCATCGTCTCGTAAACTCAACCCAAAGCGCCCTTGCTATTCTTCCCAAAATACAAGATCTTTTCCTTTCCCTTATAAACACAATTTCGCGGTTCCTCTAGTATGCCACCCATGCGCCTCGCTAAAACAATGTCACATAAAAGACAGTGCGGTCATCGCCACGTTTCCTGTCGCATCTTCATCTTCGGATCTTTCGTATTCGCCACGGTGCACTCTATGCTGCCGCGACGCCGTTGATGAACCATTCTGGTCCAAGACTGGCCTTTACGTTGTTGAAAGCTTGAAGTGCAGCGTCGAAGTTCCAGGCTGTCTGTGTCAAGCAGTCATGCGAGCCTTGAGGTGTCAAGTTGGTCTGCTTGCTCAACTCGGCCACCATCTGCTCGGCGATTTCGAGCGAGACGCCTACTGGCAGTTGTGGCAAACCATCTGCGATAGACGCATCTGCAGCTGGCATCGGTGGGGTGTTCACGATAGGCAAGAAAGCCTGGTCACCACCGTAGGCACGAATGGTCACAGTGTGGCTGACTACGCGCACTCCCATAGAGCCACCAGGACCAATGTAGATTGCATGGTCCATGCTGCGCTGCTTCTGTGTTTCGGGCTCGTTGTACTCGCCGTGGATGGAGATGAAGAAGCCGTCGACGCCAGATGGGCTGGCACCCGTTGGGTCTGGAATGCCAGGCTGAATATGCGATTCGATCATCCACTTGGTGGATTCCTCGAGTGTCGGATGCTGTGTCTTGGGCAGCTGTGCGAATAGCTCGCTGATCGCCTTCGTGCCGCGGTATAGACGAGAGGCTCGGGCTCCAAGGTGATTCAACTTCTTGAGGTTCCGGCTGTGCTTGATGTACTGATCCCATTCTTGTGGTCCAGTACTTACTTTTCCGGCAGGATCTCGGGGAGCAGCTGTGTTGACAGCAAGCGAGAATTCGGAGTTCTCGTCGTAGTACACTTGCGCAAGCTGCGGTCGATCGTTGTCGAAGCCCATGAACCAGTTGCGAATGAAGGTCTCGGCGATTTGACCCTCGTCCTGGAATTGTGGCGAACGAATTGGGAACGGAAGGTTGGTGAGGTTGTTTTGATTCTTGACATCCTCCTCAGTGCGGACCTGCACGCCGTTGAGGAACATCAGTGACGGGTACCATTTGACGATCTCAGTCGCAAAGTTGGGCTCGTTCTGCTCAAGCGGGTTGCCGTTCAAAATGAGGTTCTGCAGTTTCTTGAATCGTCGTCTCCACAGATCCAATGCGGCCATATTGGCGAATGCGTTGTTTGAAAGATCAAGGTTTTGGAGATTTGGCAGCGTTCTGGAGAGTTCCTTGACGATGTCGAGATTCTCCAAAGCATTATTGGCAAGCGTGACGCCAGAGATGGCTTCATCGCGCTCATGTGAAGTTTCGAAGGACATATCAAGGACCTTCATGAGTGCAGGAAAGAACTTGCTGGTGGTCGACCTCTTATCGAACATGGATGAGGCTTTCAGGTCCGGGTCTTGTCCGAGTGCCGTGAGATCCAGAACCTTGGTGTCAGGATTCCATCGTCGCTCAAGCACGCCTCTTAGCATGGCCTTGAGATCCTCTGTCTGGCTGTCCTTCTTCTCTTCGCCTGCATCTCCCTCGCGCTTGATGCTGAGTTTTGCACCCGCCCACTCGTATCCATCCATTCGCTGATATGCCTTTGCATCCACCGATGGCACGGTGATCAGCAATGTGTCTCCATCCTGCTTGGTCTACACAAATTAGTATTCCTTAATTACGGATGCACGAAGTCACCCAAAGGGTAGCGGCTGGCCAGTAGCTTAATCACGGTCGTCGTTCTGAGAATTGGCTGCTAACGAGGGCGGACCGGATGCGCGGCGAGCTCGCAAAGGGCTTGCGAGGATATGTCATACCTTCCTGATTCTCACGTCTCTTCTCCCTAGTCTCATGCCCGCCTTCTTCTCTAGCCACTGCGTGAGGGATTTGCGGCCGCGGTCGGTGTTGTCTGCGGCTTTGCTTTTGGTCCAACCATCGATCTTAAGGACGACCGCTGAGCTTGGCGCACGAGGCTCTCTCATGGAGACATCGCCGCTTGCAGCCTTTCGAATGAGTTCGCGTCGGCCGCCCGTCGTGAGGATGTCCTTTCCGCCGCTGCGCGTGGCTCGAGTGGCTGCTGGTCCGGTAGGTGCGGCCTTGCCGATTTTGCTGCGGCCCATGACTGCGATCGAGTCCATGGCGACATCGCCGTCACGGTCACCTCGCCGGCGCATGGCAGCTGGACCGCGTGGTGGGCGACGGTCGGTGCTGGTGCGAGACACCATGTTGGCGCCTGTTCGAGGTGTAGCTGGTAGTGAGTGTTGTGGTATTTGGTGCTGGTAATGAGCGCGACCTGTTCTTAACAAAGTTGTCGGCGTGAGCAAGTGTGGTCAAGGATAGTGGTCTGTTATCGGCTGTAGCGAAGAGAAGTATTGGATGCTCGTGCAGTAGAAGACTGCGCGAGCACGTTGAAGGTGAAGGTGAAGAGTCCAGACTTAGGTTCAATTGTCTATTGTCCTTGCCGTTAAGCTCAGGACCTAGCAGGGTTCGGATGATCCGAGCTTGCCAAGCCACATCCGTGAAGGCATGCAGGCGCTCGCTTTGAGGCACCAGCGCCAGCCTTCACCTGTATTATTCAATGATACACCATTACATTCAGAGTTGCTGTATACTATGCATCTCAAACCTTTCCAAGGCTCGTGGACGAGCCATCGGAGCGCAAAAGGCCGCCCGATAATGTCTCGAACAGCAAACTACACAGTCTCAGCCTCACGCGCAGCCTAGCGGATTATGTCCACGGACGAAGGCCTTGACACCAGGCTGATGCCTAGGGATAAACGATTCCACAGCCGAGATCGAGGATGTCTGATTGCTGAGATTACATGCGCTGCGAAGTCGCGGGCGAAGCCAAGAGTACCATCAGGCTGTCCAGAGAAGCCGCCGATAAAAGCAGAGCAATACCAAAGACGACGAAGACAGCGAGGATTATACTGGCAGCTCCTACAGCTCAATGCAGAAGATTTATAAGAATGCACTTGATCGTGGCATACGATTGCTCGCCAATATTCCGCTACCTCTTCATAGTTTGCGCGGACGGCACGTAGCACTCCACGAACCACCCAGCCGGCCAGCCTCTTCTACAAAGGTGTTCAAGATCATCTGGTTTGCTTGAATAATCGTCTTAAGCGGCTTCAGCTGCGGTCGTCGCTTAAGCAGAGCAAGTATTAGTTTCCGCCCCCACAGAGCACAGGGCGGTGCACTAGGCAGTCAATCCTCCGACTACCTACTAGGTATTGGCCGACTATTGGCCGGCCATTCAAATATCTTCTCTTCAGCTTCTCCTACATGTCGTCGTTTCCACCTGCAGCATGCAATGTGCACTGAATGACGCGGGATGAGTGCCCACATGCCAGTGGACAATACGGACAGCTACGAACTCCGCGACGTGCCTCTCGGAAGCACGACAGCTCATGCCAGCCAGCACGTCGAGATGGTCGAACGATCAACGCCCTTTGACGCCTTGATACAGCATGGGAGCCACCACAGTGCAGATGATTCTCATGGCAAATCTTCAGTATGAGAAAGGCCTGCCGGTTTGGACAAGCCAGTGGCTGCCTCTGCGGGATTCATGGTGGCCAGCGATGAAGTGCGCCTCATGCCATCTTCAGAAACGCTAGATAAAACCACAATCGAACCTGTTACAGATGCGAAACTATCAAGAGAAAGTTTATGGAGGCCTGCTGCTTTGCGAAAGCGCACCATCTGGGGCTTTGTTGTAATTTTTGTCCTCCTCATTGTGGCACTGGTTGTGCTGTACATCAGCGACCACGCAGAAAAGGGCATTGCGAGGTCTCATAAAAGCTTGCATTATCTTTGGACATACGGACCGACCTTGAGTGAGTACTCGTAGAATTATGTGGCTCTGTGCTAACAGCGTGTGTCTGCAGTCCTTTCAATTGTGCTCTCATTGTGGGATCATACCGATACCAGGCTTCGACAAATGATCCTTTGGCAGATCCTGCACCAAGGAAGAAGCCGAGCATCAGAGACCTTGCTACTTGATTACATTTCTGATGCACAGCCCGTGGTCTTGTGGAGATCTATTCGGCTAAAGCACTGGTCAGTCGCCCTTGGTACGACTTGCTCGTTGCTACTCAAACTCTTGATCGTGCTATCAACTGGTCTGTTCGCACTTGAAGATGTTGTCGTTTCCAGTGCCGATGTAGCGCTACTGTCCAGTGATAGATTCGATCCTTCCGCATAGGACACGAGTGCAATGAATCGAAGCATTCAGGCTATCTTTGCATATGGGGCCAGTGAACTGAACAAAGCGTTTCCTGTCGGTACTTCAGGCGAATATGCAATACCAAACCTGCATCTTGCACAATCAGATGGGCTATCGTTGTCGACAGCAACCATAGACGCCACAGTGGACGCTTTCAGGGCCGGCTTAGACTGTGTTCCTGGCAAATTCTACACTTACGATCAGGAATGCGACTACAAATGCACTTCCATAATCCCGGAATACAAAATAGAGTCGTCCTCTTGCAGCATATGCCGTAGCAGCTGGCCCAAAGATGCTGGCACATCTGGAAGTGTATACGCCTACAATCTCACCTTCGGCTTTGCTACGCTCTCAAAAGGTAACGAATCGAACAGTGACGATGTGGCTCGACTGTTCATTGCCACTGGCACGATTGTTGCCAATTTCAACCCAAACCTCAATTCGACGGCCGAGCTCGCCTCCAACGTTACAGCATTGGTCTGTCAGCAGCGCAACACGTTGGCAGAAGTGCCAGTCACGATCGACACATCTGGCGCATTGCTTGCTACTAAGACAAACGGATCTGAAGTAGTGATTCACGACGACTCGATCACAAATCCCGACATGCTGTCTATGTTCCAAGAAAGCCTTTTAGACTCAAGTAACGCTTTCGGTACAATATGGCAGACTCGGAATTCTACGCTCACCTTCCTGAACCATTCCGGCAACGGAGCGAACTCATACGACTATCGTCATCTCTGGTTCTATTCCTTCGACGACTTTTTCAATCTATACCTTGCCGTGACACAGCCGAAAAGCATGATGGGCCTACAGACAGGCCTTCTCGAAGGCACTCAACAACTCTATGGAGTGGTATCGACACAGATTGCAAAGTCAAATCTCATGGCCGATGGCGTGAAACAATACAATGGGATGCTGCATAGTACTGAGCAGCGACTTCGAGTTCGCGAATTGTCGCTGATAGGCATGGCAGCAGCCTTAGCTGTGCTGACAGTACTTACAATACCTCTAGTTTGGTTCGATGGACGAGGATCGACGCCTCGAGATCCTGGCTCTATCGCTGGACTTGCGCTTATTACATCGAAGTGCAGCCAGCTACACGAATTCGCTCCACTCAGCACTGCCAACGAGAAACAAATGCGTAACCGTCTTGGCGGTTTGCCTTGTGCAAGCAGCGTTAGCGCTTCCAAATCCTTTGCAGTGGATCTGTTCGAAGACAGCAAAGAATTAAATCGTGATGGTATTCAGGCCGATCGCAAGAAAGACCAAGTGCAGTGGTGGATACCGTTATCGCTCTCGCTATAGGCCACAGCGGCTCTCGTTCTGATCTTGTTTGGCGCCGTCATCGCCCTTGAGCTCGTCCTTCAGAAGTCACTTCGTCAGGAAGGTCTCGCAACTCTAATTTCTGATACCGATGGACGATATGCTTGGAGATATGTGCCCGGCACAGTCATGCTCTTAATTTCAATGAGTGTTGGCGCAGTCGCTTCTGAAGCGAAGATCATTCAACCATATTCAAGCCTCAGACGCAAGCCACAAGATGCCCGCTCTGCCTTAATGAATGCGGACCAATGGCAATTGACCGTGACGACACTATGGACCTCGACTAAAGGTGGCAGATAGGGGATTCTGGCAATTACTATTGCTACGTTGCTTGCTTTCCCCCTTACCATTGTTTCCTCAGGCCTTTACAGCACCCAGTTATTCAACTCGACCCAGATCGCATCATACAGCACAAGCACTGGAGTCTCATTCATGAAAGCTGCTTCCGACAGTGATATGGACAAGACAGCAATCATCCTTTCGATGCTCGTCAACAAAAATTTGACCATGCCACGATGGACCTACAACGAGTTCGTCTTGCCAGTCAACGAGCGAAGTATCACCATACGGCCAGGCAAGTACAATACGCCAGCGAGTATCACACTCACAAACTCCCCAAAGAGTTGCAATAACTCATACCACAAGCTCCTGGCGCTTCCCGGAACTGACTACGGATTCGGAAATCCTTCTGGTCTATCGTATTACGAGTTCACCACACTCGACTGGGTCTCTCCTGAGTGTCCATTCGTCATACTCATATACGGCAAGATTCCCACCAGTGACGGGACTTCTGAAAGTCTCAATGTCAGCACATGTCGTGCGTGGGTCGATCAAGTCCAGACAAATGCCACAATCGATGCTCAAAGCAAGCGTATCCTCTCCGTAGACGTGGATGATTCCGTGCCTCCGAAAGACGTCTCGCAAGATCATGGCTTCGACATGTATGGAGAAAGAACCAACCAGTACCTTCGAAGGCATCCTCCCAGTCTGGACGTCAATCTGGCCAATGGACCACTTCACATACAACAATTCAGACCTAGCCTTCGCACCCCTCCTAGCCACAAATCCCCAACTCAAACTAGAAGACCTAGTCGGCGAAGGAAACAATGCAGCGCTAAACGGCACGCTCGGAAGACTTTGGGGTTTAACATATGCTCAGCTCGCCAATCAAGACTCTGGCGTAGACAGCAGCGATGAGAACAGTAACACGCCATCTACAGTCACCGGGGCAAGAACGAGACTCGATCGACGACGACTCACACAGAATGTCGTCTCGACACGGATCTTGGAAGTCTTACTCGGTCTCATGGCCATTTGCGTTATCATCATGACGAATTTCATCCGCACGAAAGAAGTCTTACCAAAGAACCCTTGTAGTATCGCTGCAGCGGCTAGTCTTCTTTCCGGCTCGGAGTTGCTGAGAGAGGCTGCTTCGTATAAGGCTCGGGGTATTGGAGCGATGCTGAGATGCGTTGTCGAGGCCTTTGGGAGGGTTGGTGAGTGAGTTCGGGGTGGTGGGATGATGGGAGAGGAGGAAGAAGATTTGGTATTGATCTTGGGAAAGCGCACCAAGAATGATGCTATAGACCTTAATAGATTTTCAACTGATCAAGTGTTCGGCGCCGCCTTTTCATTCAGTCAAAGCATGTGTTTTGTTGTACTTCTAGACAAGGGCTCATGTCTCCCAAGGGCTCATGCACGGACGGAGTTGGGTCCGATTCCGAACAGCTCCACTTGCACATGGCGTTCGTGGCCTCGACAATAGAATAACCTTACCCAAGCGTTTAAACGATTCCTTGTTGCATTCTGAAGGGCGTTTGGGCGTAATACACTACTGTTTCTTCGCCCACGATTGCGGTATTCATGACTCCGTGAGCTTCGATGGCCGTAACAAATGGCACTGCGACTTCAGATGCTCTTGATGCAGGTAGGCTCCCAGCATGAATCTCACGCGCTATCCTCGAACGTGGACTGACGGTCTCTCAGTGGACTATGACCCAATTGACCATTTGAACGCGCTTTTCTCACATCCGTCTACGCTCTCTTCCGTTTCCAGCGTGTCAGCATCCCTTCAACGCTACCAAGATGGCCTCGACTCCGATATTTCCTCTCTCGTCACGACCCAAACCACGTCCGACTCGGATAGCGTTCGACGAATACAAGATGCGAAGGCCGAACTCGCAGGGCTCTTTGCTAAGATCGAAGGCGTGCGGGAACGCGCATTGGAGACAGAACGAACTATTACGGAAATGACAGCAGATATCAAGAGGCTGGACAGTACAAAGAAGAATCTCACGCTGTCTATGACAGCTCTGAAGAGGCTGCAGATGCTCACGACTGCATACGAGCAACTCAGAGGACTGAGCGATACCAGGCAGTACCGAGAGTGCGCGCATTTGCTCCAAGCTGTGATACAGCTCATGGCGCATTTCAAGAGCTATAGGAGTATCGACCAGATCGCGACATTGAGCAGGAATGTTGCAGATGTGCAGCGTGAACTTCTCGAGCAAGTCTGTGAGGACTTCGAGGTCACATTCGCGCGTGGTGAGGTACAGCAGAAGAGGATGATGTTGAACGAGGCATGCCAGGTCATGGATGCGCTAGGACATCATGCGCGATCGAGGTTGATAACATGGTATTGTAATACGCAGCTGCGCGAGTACAGACAGGTCTTTAGAGGCAACGACGAGGCCGGAAGTTTGGACAACATATCGAGAAGATACTCTTGGTTCAATCGCATGCTCAAGACGTACGACTTGGAACACCACATGCTCTTCCCGCCAAGCTGGAAGGTCAATGAGATGCTGGCAAACGCATTCTGCGAGAACACCAGGGATGACTATAAAGCGATTCTGCACAAGAGCATGAGAAGGGCAGACGGACAGCCTCCGGATGTGAATCTGTTGCTGTCTTGCTTGCAAGAGACCTTAGACTTCGAGCACAGCTTGGAGCGTCGCTTTTCTGGAGGCGAATCTAGGAATTCTATGGACACAGTCACATCGAGCGAGGAGAAACGACATGGTTTCAGCCAAGCCATTTCAGAAGCATTTGAGCCCTACCTTAGTATATGGGTCGAATCGCAGGACAGACAATTGGCCACTCTTATCCCGAAGTATCGACAACAAGGTATTCGAAACGTGGAGGAAGAGTTCCATGCTCAATCGGTCGTCAACTCGTCTACGGAGCTTTTTCATCACTATCGCGTGACCCTGGCGCAATGTGCGAAATTGTCCACCGGAAGCAGACTGGAAGAGCTCTCGAGAACCTTTGCGAAGTATCTCGATGCCTACGCGCAACAAGTCCTGTTCTACTTCCTGTCGGATAAAACTGGCGGGCCAAGCGTGGAAGATGCAGTCATTATCCTGAACACGGCAGATTACTGCTATACGACCACGAACCAGCTGGAAGAAAGGATCAAAGGTCGGATCGACGAGGATCTGAGAGAGAAAGTGGACTTGCAGTCTCAAGCAGACACGTTCATGGGCGTCGCCTCAGCAGCTGTGCGTGCTCTTGTTCACAAAGCCGAAGCAGATTGCGAACCTGCATGGCGAGAGATGCGATCAATACCTTGGAGCAAGATGGAGATGGTCGGAGATCAGAGCTCCTATGTGTCGACGCTTCTCCAGCGCGTCAAAGATCGCAGCCAGGATATTCTGCGATACTTGCACAAACCCCAGTATGCGCGAGCATACTGCGACCATCTGGTTGACGCTCTCACCAGCTCGTACATCACCAATATCGTTGCATGTCGTCCAGTCTCCGAGACTGGCTCGGAACAGATGCTGCTCGACACATACGTCCTGAAGAAAGGACTTGCAGAATTAGCAACACTGAACAGTGAGGCCGGTATACCTGTCAATGCAGCTTTCGTCAAGCGGGTAAATCAGAGTACGGCCAAACTCGACCCGATCCTCAAGACACTACAAGTCCGCTCGTCGCCGCCCGAAGGTCTCGTCCAGGCATATCTCATTCACATTCGAGATCGCTCCGAAGCTAATTTCCGCAAGGTGCTCGAGCTGAAAGGTCTTACAAGGAAGCAGGACCAGAGCCATCTCATCGAGCTCTTCAACGCGCACAAGGCCAGCCCTGCGAATGAAAGCTTGCAGCCTTCCAACCCACTCATTGCATCACTCAATATGTCGGCACCTGTCCCTTCTGCAAACACCAGTGGTGGTCCTCTCGCTGCTTTGAAGGACGCTTCCTCGCCGTCTCTGCTCGCACCTCCTCGCTTCGACGCCGCGAATTTTGGAAACACATTGCTCAATGCAGCTCGAGAAGCCGGAGACCGTTTCGCTTCCACGCCAATTCCTGGTACTTCCAATTCAGCAAGTAGAACGGCAAGTCCGCCAGGTGGGAGGGCAAGTCTTGATGGTGGAACGAGTACAACGACGCTGAACGAGAACTTGCGGAATATTGGCAGGTTCTTCAAGAAGGATGGGGCAGGGTTTGGTGGATTCGGACGATAGCCAAGGCGACATGCAGACGTTCCGTGTCCCTGTTCACCGCATGGTCTGTATTTCATCTCCCCGAGATGAAACTACTGCGGTGTTCCACTCACGAATATGCAAGGAGTAATCACCTGCCGCAATCGCAGCACGTGGACGATCTCTACCAGTGATCTCGACAGCCTCATAGCATCTTGAAACCCAGATCATTACAGAGTCAACGTAGCATTGAAAGGATGAGTTCGGCGAGCAGCGATACAACAGTATCAGTGTGAGCAAATCCTTTCACGATGCTTTTCGGCTTCAAGCTCGTGCCGAGTTCCTGGCCCTGCCAAGGATGTGTTCCCGCAAAGAAGCGCCGGCGAAATGGTGAGAATTATTCGGCCGTAACTGAGTTGCTATTTGTATGCCCATCGCCACACTAAGAACGACGAGGTGATTTTTCGAATGACGCTTGAAGGAGGCTTCACACCTTTGACAGACCTTGGTTTCGAAGAGGTGCTTGCCGTACAGCAAACACTCACATGTGAGAGACATTGGTCGGAATCCATTCTATTCACTTCACGAGCTCCGCAAAGCTCGGACATGGAATATTTTGTTCGCGGCCATGGAAAAAGCGATGGTCAAATAACGATTCAGTAGGATCCGTCTATCATCTGCGACGTTGCACCGCCAGTCGCCGCACGCTCCGCCGATCCGCTTCACCTCTCCATGTTCGCCTCCCACGAGACCTCATCAATCACTCCATTGCGCAGAAATTAGCGGGCTTCAGCTCCAAAAAATTTTCTGCTACTAGACTGCACCCAACCCAACGCATGTTAGCGGTGGGTGGCATGTGCCGTGACGGACGGGACATGCTCGCGCCCGTTGTCCCACATACTACTTATTATGTACAGCGTGACCTCTTAACGGGGCAGGTTTTGTCTTCATCAGGTTTGCCGTGTGTGTTTTTCAATTGTTCCTGCCTGCCCTTTCACTCTCGCAATTCATTCACATGAGCACATGTCACGCTAATTCCAGTCTGACTCAGTTTGAAAAATTCTACGGTCGGATTAATCCATTACCTTACTGTCATACATACATACATCCGACTACACTAGACCTTGATCGGATAGAGCTAGCTACTACAGCCTCATGGACGACAAGATCAAAGGCGCAGATAGCGCGACAGAGGGCGAGAAGGGAATTTTCCATGATACACATTCCGCTGCCTCAGGTAGCAGCGACCTCGAGAAAGGCGCCGATGTCAGAGCTGGAACTACAGCACAGCTCAAGCGGCGGCTGCAATCCAGACACCTTCAGATGATTGCGATAGGCGGCACGATTGGAACTGGTCTCTTTATCGGATCTGGTGGTGCGCTTGCGAAGGCAGGTCCCGCCGGTGCTCTGATCGCATATGCGTTCGTTGGAACTCTGGTCTACTCCGTCATGGTCGCGTTGGGGGAGATGGCGACATACATTCCCATCTCAGGTGCTTTCACGGTTTACGCCTCGAGGTTCGTGGATCCTTCGTTGGGATTCGCGATGGGTTGGATTTACTGGTTCTCGTGGGCTATCACTTACGCTCTTGAATTGACGGCTTCGGGGTTGATTATTCAGTACTGGGCGCCGGATCTCAACGTCGGGATTTTCATCGGCGTCTTTTGGGTTGTTATTACCGCGATCAATTTCTTGCCCGTCTCGTGTTATGGAGAGATCGAGTTCTGGTTCGCTTCGATCAAGGTTGTGACGGTTATTGGCTTCCTCATCTTCGCCATCTGCATTGATGCTGGTGCTGGACAGCATGGATATCTCGGCTTCAAGACTTGGGACAATCCTGGAGCTTTTGCTGCGTATCTTGTCGAAGGCAACCAGGCGCTCGGCAAATTCGTTGGTTTCTGGGCTGTTCTGATTCAAGCCGGATTCTCGTACCAGGGAACTGAGCTGGTCGGTATCGCTGCTGGAGAGACCGCCAACCCACGCAAGTCCGTTCCAGCTGCCATCAAGAAGACCTTCTACCGAATTCTGTTCTTCTTCGTCTTCACAGTCTTCTTCATCGGCCTGCTGATCCCATACGACAACGAAGATCTGCTCTCGGACAGCACTGACGCGTCCGCATCTCCACTCGTCATTGCTGCTAAGCTCGCCGGCGTCAATGTCCTTCCCGGCCTGATCAATGCCGTCCTGCTCTGCGTTGTCCTCTCAGCCGCCAACTCAAACGTCTACTGCGGCTCTCGTATCCTCGTGGGTCTGGCAGAAGAGCGCTCAGCACCATCGTGCTTCAAATGGACCACTGCACAAGGTGTTCCGTGGGTCGCCGCCGCATTTACTGCCGCTTTCGGTCTTCTCGGCTTTATGAATGAAAGCTCAAGCGGAGCCCAGGTGTTTGACTGGCTTCTCAACATCACATCCATCGCCGGCTTCATCAGCTGGACCTGCATCAACATCTGCCACCTGGCATTCATGCGCGCAATCAAGGCTCGCGGCCAGTCACGAGACGACCTGCCTTACAAGGCTTTCTGGCAGCCCTGGTTCAGCTGGTACGGACTCATCTTCAACGCCCTCATCATCATCACCAATGGTTTCACCGCGTTCATGCCCTGGAACACCTCGGACTTCTTCATCGCTTACGTCAGTTTGATCTTGTTCGCGGTCATGTATGTTGGCCACAAGATTGTATACAGGACCAAGTTTGTCAAGCCTGCTGAGGCGGATCTTGACACCGGCAGGAAGGAAATTGAGGAGATGTATTTTGAGGAAGTTAAGCCTACGACGTTATGGGGGAAGTTTTGGGCATGGCTTGGATGAGCGTTTATGATGTGTGCAAGTAGTAATGATGTATTGATTATTATTATTATCTGTTATGATGTGAGATTCCAGAGGTGATGCGCTGTCGTATGTATGCTGAGCAGAGACGGTGGTTGGAAGGAGGATGTTTGGGCTTGGCATCCGGGATCTTCCGCGAGGAGAGATCCTGATGCCTCTTCACCACACCGTCGCCGTGCAAGAGCCTTGGGTAACCGTGATATGATTTCCACGGCTGCAGAGTCCTTGAGATGGCGGTACATGTTCTCATATTGTCATTATTGAAGCGCTTACGCGTTCTTGTTGTCAGGCCTCCCTCGATGACAGATACTTCCCATCACGAAGATATGCGTACAGAAGCAACAGCTATTCGCTAGATACTACAGGACAAGCCGACTCGTCCGCTCGTGCATATTCTCAATTTCAAAAACCCCGGGCTTTTTAGCCGCGGGGCAGCTGATAGTGCCCCTATGTGTTCTACTACACTAATTCTACTACTACTCCCGGCATACTATACTAATAAATTCTATTAATTTCCTAATAAATACTATAAGCTCGCCGCTTTATTTTAATATAGATATCGACCTAATTAGTAGTATTATTATTGCGTAGGAATACGGCGCAGATAATAGGGCGTATAGCTAGTTACTAAGCGGACCCGCTAAATACCTATTTTCAGCTTTCTTAGTATTCTACGGTCGGTCTAGTAGACTAATATATACTATAATCGCAAGAGTCTAAGTTAATACCTAATCTAAGGAGAATCTTTATCGCTATTGCCTCTACTATAAGGTATAGTTACGTAGAACTAGACTAAATTGCCCGACTTGTCGCAAATCTATACGGTTCCTCTACCTCTAATTCTAGAAGAAATACTACTACTAAGCGACGCCTCGATATACGATAATACTAGCGATTTAATAGCTACGGACGAAGGACTAATATATACTAGAAGAGATCTAGTAGATATTGCCTTATTATAGGACGTAAGAAGGTAGACTAGAAGGACGAGAAGTTAGGCTCGAAGCTAACCTCGAGAACTACCGTAATATACTCTATAATACGCTCTACAAACTCTACTACTTCCCTCTATAGTACCTAAGAAGCGTACGCTAAAGAGCGCCGAGGATGCTTATTTGCTAGTAAAACAGCTAGAAGCGGAGGTTGCTGCTACTTTAGTTAGTAGCTAGTCTATAAGTAAAAGGAGGACTTTACGGATAGGTTTAATAGCGAGTGCCTCGAAGAAGGTAAAGAAGGTCTAATTTAAGGCAACTAAGGTTGCTAAGACCTAGCAAAGTAATATCGGCTCACTAATAAGTAATACTTTGCTACTAGGTAAATAGGAAAGTAGATAAGAAGGTAGATAAGAAGGTAGATAGGAAGGTAGATAAGAAGGTAGATAAGAAGGTAGACAAGAAGGTAGACAAGAAGGTAGATAAGAAGGTAGATAAGAAGGTAGATAAGAAGGTAGATAAGAAGGTAGATAAGAAGGTAGACAAAAAGGAGAGGAACTATATACTAAAGAGGTTACTATTATATAGGTTACGAAGAGGGTTAGGAAGCCCCTAAAGAAGGCTATTATTAAAGAAGCTATACCGAAGCCGACTAAGAAGAAGAAGCCTTCTTCTTCTTCTTTAAAGCCTTCTAAGACTGCTTCTTCTACTACTATAGAAGCTACCCCTTTAGTAAATAAGAAGCCTTTACTAGAGCCGGACGCTATTAATCTCGAGCTATAGCTCTACCTGTCTCCTTTTAGAAGCTCCGTAGATGCCTTAGGTTCTGCTAAGGAACCGGCTCTAGCGGAGCGTCTAACGACAAACAGTAGGAAGCGACTGTATATACTATAACCTGCTATTCTATTAGATAGCATTTAATATATAACTTCATATATATATAAGTTCTCGCAAATGTCTCTTTAGCGGGTTGTGCATTTTGCGACGGTATATACAGTAATTAGAAAGTATTCGCGAGAAGCGTAAAACTGCATTGTATATAGACCTTCTTCTATAGAAATTAAACTAGCTTAACTTATATTTATAATAAACGACTATATAGAACAATAACTACGCTACCGAGCAACCTCAAACTTAGCAGATATTAGCATCGACATCCGTAGATTCTATTACCGTTGCCCGCTTAGTCGTATAGTGTCGCGTTGTTAATTGCCGTATCACCTCCGCTTGCTATTCTAAATTCCGAGTCGTAGCGACTATATTCGCACCCCTTCGATTTCCGCTATTCTAACGACATAGATCGACTCGGTATACCTTAGAGGGTCGGTTGCTTTAGCTAAAGTTATCGGAAGTGCCCTTTCGCTCGAGGAACTAGCGATATTCTGCTGTCCTATAGAAGTATCGATATCTTCGGTATCGGTCGATCGATTTCCGCCCTTCTAACTATACTAACCTTCTCGATATACCTTAGCGACTCTAGCGTACACGTTTAGAGGTCTAGAATAGGCCTAGTTACTTCTCGCTTCGTCTAGATCTATAGCGGCGGCATTCGAGTCTAGCGATAGTAAAAGTGAAAGGTATAGGCTCTACTTTTCCGGTATTATTATAAATACGTAACGCGTGTGTCTAACTCTTTCTCTTTCTTCCGCGCTTTAATAACTCTAGCCTCGAATACCCTTCAACCCTCTAACCTATTAACCTATCTCTACAATTCGACGACACTATAGCTCCTCCTAGTCGAGGTAGAGGCGGCGGTAGCAGTAGTAGCAAGACTAGTAAGTACTCGCACTTAGGCACTAAGGATCGCTATAGGGCGGTAAAGGCGGATAGAGAGGCGCGAAAGAAGCAAGCACAATAAAAAGAACAAGCTACGAAGCAGGCCGCTAAGGTCTAGCGACGCAAGAAGGATCTAAAGCGCCTACTACTAGGAGGTCGACGCGCTATTAATCGCTATAACCCGCAATTCGATATCGTCGCCCGCCTACTACTTCCTCCGGACAACTTACTACCTTATATATAGCATGCCTACTTCGAGGCGCGTATAGAGTATATACGCGACGATAAGTACCTCCTTAAAGAGATCTAGCTCCTAATATAGGATATAGCGTAGCATTACGATAAGTCTAAGTATCTGCAGGAAGAAATAGTACGCCTTAGTCTCTTAGTAGTGTTGTTAATGCTATATCCGTATCGCATCCTAGAACCCGAACCTCTATAGTAGTAGATCGATGTGTTCCAGTCGCTCTTCTTTAGCTAGTAGGATGTTATATATCCGGCTGCTACTAGCTCTAGAAAATTATTAATCTACTAGGCTTTCGCTCTCCTAACCGGCATAGCTATATAGCAAGTAGCAGTCTTAACTCGGATCGCGGATAAGCAAGGCGGTGATATCGAAGAAGCTATACGCTAGTTATCGCTATAGGAGCAAGGACTACTTAATATCTATGTCCTTATAGTAGAGAGTAAGCGGCGCGATCTATATATACTCGCAGACCTAAAGGTAGGCCGGTACTACTACGTCCTCTATAGCCCTAAGTAAGGCATTACTCCGGAATTTTAAGAGGTCCTACGCTCTATAGCTCTATCCTTAGGGTTAATCGTATACGATAAGGCACATCTTCTTTATCGGTAGCTAAACTTCCGAGTTGCCTTTAGAAAGATCGCCTTCCTTCGCGACCTCTACGATATATATATGCCTACTATCGCGGCCTCTACTACTATACCGAAAGATATAATCGATTACCTAGTTAAGAGTCGTGCTATTCGTCTAATTAGAGACAAGCCTCTTTAGAGCATTGTCTAGCGCGGCAGCATTAATCGCCTAGATACGATATATATTATTAAGCCTCTACCGAAGAACAAGTTAATATCCTTTAAGTTCTAGTACTTCGTGCTAAAGTATACGATTAACGAGGAAGGCCGCGGTATACCCGACCTAATCTAGAAGACTCTTATCTTTGTCGACGGCCGCGTAAGCATTAATCGTGCCTGTCTCCTAATACGATCTTGGTTAGTAGATCTAACTAAGGACATCGACCTAGAGCTAGTAGAGTACAAGTATATATAGACTAGTACACTACTTATACCGAGAGGAAAGCTAACTATTAATGTTCGAAAGGTAATCTCTTTCTATACGGCTTATGTCGCGCCGCTAGATAAGGACCTCCGATACTAGGAATTTAAGAAGCTAGACTTATACATCCGTATTATATAGGGCACGCTAGCTACTACGATAGGTACTAACATTCCGGATATCGAGATCGTTAGACAATAGGGTATTCCTATTATAAACGATGTTCTCGATCTAATATAGAAGCTCGGTCGCGGTACGCGTCTACTAAATATTAAGGCTCTCGCGGTATTTATATTGCCGTATTAGTACGATAATAGACAGGGCCGTGTTCTACTAGAGAAGCGTAGCTATGTCTCTATAATCAATCCGTATAACAAGGACTAGGCTATTCTATACCGAGAGTAGGCATATCTTCTATCGAATCCTAGTAGCCTCCGTAATACGATAGTCTCGGATAAGATTGAACAGGTTCTAGGCGAGGAATTCGACGACTTCTCCGAGGATATCTTTAACATTATAAACTAGCTAGATAGTCTAGATAAGCACGATAATAGAGAAGGCATTACGGTCCGCGTACGTCGTACTATAGACGAGGCTGCTATATATCCTAGGACAGCCGTATATAGAAGCGGCGCTAGTACCTTTAACGATGCTATAGATAGCGCAATCGTAGACAACTCTAATATACCGAAATAGACTTCCGATAAGATAAAGAGCCGAGAGAGCGCATCTCCTATATTTATACGTCTTATTAATGCACGCTATCATCCGGTAAAGGGTTAGCGCTAATGCTTTAGGGCTGTTGTTAACGAATACCTTAGAGAAGGGGAGTGTATATACCTAATCCCTAAAGGCAAGGTCGTATAGGGCAAAGATACCTACTATAGTATACACAACCCGGACTTGCTAAAGAAGCTAGTATAGGATAGTTACGAGCCGCTAGCAGCACCTCTATTACCGTAGAAGCCGAGAAAGAGTAGTCTATCGGGGTATGCTCTAGAGCATATCGAGGAATGGATTTCTAAGTAGGCTAAGCGTGT